CAGGCCCGCTCTCAGACACTTGTCCAGACCCTTCTTCAGACCTCCTGCAGATATCTCCCGGACACATTGCCGAGATCCCTCCAGACCCTTCCCGACCCCCTCCCGACCTCCGCTCAACCTTCCCCCGACCTCTCCCGATCCCTCCGCCGACCCCCCTCTGATTTCTCTCCCAACCTCTCCTCGACCTCGCCCCCGATCTCCCTCGACCCCTTTCTAATTCTTCCCGACCTCTCCCCAGACCTTGTCCGACTCCCACAACCTCTCCCCCGACTCTTCCTGACTCCCTTTCGACCTCCCCCCGACCTTTCCTGACCTCCCGTCGACCTTTCCCTCGCCCTGTCCCGGTGCCCTCTCCGACCTCCGCGCGATGGCCCCCCGACTTTCCCCCAATTCTCAGGAGTGAGGACTGAAGCTTAGAGGGGTGGTGAGAGGACCTGGGGGCGCGACCACTCCGTGCTCAGAGGCACGGTGGCGCATAACACACTGTTTGGGGTCCACGGTGGCTGGTAGGCCTACAGGGATGGCTGGACGGTCGGTCGGTCCCTGCTCAAAAGGGTGCGTTTCAGGTAGAGCGCCGGCAGCAGCCTGGAATCGGCAGGCATCGAACGATCTGCGCTATCGGAAGGCCGCGATCGATTCAGGTTGAACGATCCACGCGAAGTCAGAAGCCAAAGCCGACCTCATCGCGACGTGAATTTGTGGTAGGATTGTGCATCGGCCTTCCTGATCTCGGCCAGGAAGGCGTTATACCATGGCAGGGCCCATGATGGACCTGGCCAGGCACGGTGGTGGTGCACATGTGCCCGCTGCACATGTGGGCTCGTGACTTTGCATGTAGAAAGTCCCAGGCGAGTAGACGAGACAGTTTTAGATGTGGGTTCAGAGGGGCCAGAGGTCATGATCATCCTGATGTTCTACACGGGTTACCCAGGGCAGCGATTAAGATTTCCCCCCTTCGGAGGAACAGATAACGCACCAAACGCCCTGAAGCGTTATCCTGGCACCCTGGCACTTGGCCGTTGCTTAGCACTCCTCTGGAGCCTCCAGCAACCTTCGAAAGTGGCGAGGAGGAGGAAGAGGAGGAGAGGGAGGAGGAGGATGAGGAGGACAGGGAGGAGGAGGAGGACAGCGAGGAGAAGGAGGAGAAGGGAATAATTATTTATTGGTGCGGCGTTGACGATAGCACAGGGGGGTTCCTTAATCGCTGACCAGGTTGAATATCATGGCGTCCTGGAAAGCATCCTGTACCAATCGTATTCTGAGCCGATCGCACCATGACCTCATGACAGTGATCAATCCTGAGCCGATCGTATCCTGCGCCGTCCTGTTGGTGGGTCGAGCCCCAGACAGAAAGCTCAGCCTTCGCCCGAAAGACCGACTCGCTTTCGAGGCCTCGCGCGCTGCGACAGCAGAGGCGACCAGCGGCTTCGACCGCGCGGTCCACTGGGCATATCCCGGCGTGCGGGGCTCTCGTTTCGCCGTCGCTCGCGCGGCAACGATTTTCGAACTGGGCTCCAGAGGAGCCCCAACAACAAAGCACGCAATCATCATTCGCGGGCGGAGGGCACGTCCGTGGCCACGGTCGCATGGCGCGGAATGTATCCATGCGACCGCGCGTCCACGGGGTCGCGCCCTGGAATCCAGACCGCAAGGGCGTGGACGTGGATACGCTCGCCGCTCGTGAATCACACTGCATGCCGACCAGCAAGCACTGCGAGTGGAGGTGCGTGTGCCATCAGAAGGGGGTCATCTGAGGATGATTTGCCCTGTGCTGTCGCGCGCGGGTTAAGGGCTGTTGGGGTGGGATCGTCTGAGGCTTCTTTGGGCCATCATCGGTCTTGGTTGGCAGTTTTTGGTGGGCAATCTGGGAATTATCTTGTGACAAGATCGTGGCTGTCTTGGAGCCCTCTCAGGGTCTTCCTGGGCCAACTTGGAGCCTCTTAGGGCCTCGTCGGGCTTCATGGGGGCATATTTGGGCTCTCTGGCGGCCACCCTGTGCATTCTTGGGGCCATCGTGGGGCCTCGGGGGCCGTTTTCGGGCCGTCTTGTGACTCGTAGGAGTGAAGGGGGCACCGACAGTCGTGCCGTGGGTTTATGCTGCATGCCTTGGCTTGCAGCCACGAGTGTAGCTCTCGATGCGGAATGCGCAAGCACAGGGATGATGAGCATATCCTGGTAATCGCGCTTTTGTTCATGTTTGCAGTCGGATCCCGCCATTCTAATCAATTGGCGTTTCACAGAGAGGCTACGGCCTGAACGTTCGCGCCCTAATGGGCACTGAGAGTGATCCGAGAACGAGCGCGAATCGAATCGAATTGAATCCTGATAATCACAGTCATCGCCAGCAGGCTTGGCGCGGCCAGCATATCTGCGCGATCCGTTTTTTTCCCCGTCGGCCCGACCGTGCTTCGGGAGGGCGGGGTTCCGCCCCGCCCCGGTCCCCGGGAGTGGTGTCCTCGAGCTGCGCAGGCGAGGGCGCGCCTCCGAAATCGGGTGGTGAACTCGCCCGCGGTGCAGGCAGTCGCTAGGGAGTTAGGATCCGACTGCCTGACTATCCAAGACGCCTACGGCGAACTGCCGCCGTCCCCCGCCTCTTGAATTCACCTGTGACCGAGCGTTTGGCCGAAGTCTTTCCAAGCCATTGTGCCGTCTGTTCCCTCAGTATTTGTGGAAATCCCAGGGGAACATTTGGGCGGATGAGGAGGAAGAGGAGGAGGCGGAGGAGGAGTAATACTACTAGTATTGTTATTGCTCGCTTGCGCTTGCTTGCTTCCGCTTGCTGGATTTTGCTCCTCCCGTCCTCCTCCCGTCCTGCTCCCGTCCTCCTTTCGTCCTCCTCCCATCCTCCTCTCGTCCTCTTCCTGTCCTCCTATCTTTTTGGAGTCAACGCTGGCTGATACTACTATTCATGATAATGACAACACAAGTCAGAATGACAATAATGAGACAAGGCCTCTTGAGGCACTCTTGCGGGTCTCCCAGGGGCTTCCTGGGAGCCTATTCGGTGCCTCATTGAGGCCTCTTGGGGGCCTTCTGAGGCCTCTCGGGGGTCTCCTGAACCTTCTTTGGGGGGCCTCGGGGTGTCTGCTGGCGGCCTCGAGAATGATCTGCGGGTGGGGGGCTCCGACTTTTTCGCCAGTCGACATGTGATGATCAAGCTGGATAAGTCGAGGTAGGTGCAGATAAATCGAGGTAGATCCAGGCAGATCCTGGTCGACACCCTGGGAAATTTGGAGCAAATCGTGGCCACTCCAGCGCGAATTGAAGGATAACAGAAGCCGTAAGGCCCTTAACGAGAATGTCAAGTCGAGTTCCTCCTCTCAGGCCCCTCTTGGGGGCCTTTGGGTGCCTCTTAGGGACCGACGCCTCATCGTGCCAGGGGGCACGGTGGCGGTTCCGTGTCGAGAGCCCCGAGGGGGCCAGGGGACATGCCGCTCAGTGCCTCGCGGCACGGTGGCAGTTTCCAGTTTTCTGTCCTTGTGGGCTGGCACCGTGGTCCAAGAGGCCCCTAAGGGAACCCAGAACGGCCCCTGGAACCACCTGAGGACACGCGGGAGACGCGCGTCCAGGGCCTCTTGGGGGCCTGTAAGAGGCCTCTTGGCAGTCGGAGGCCGTCTTGGAGGTCTCACAGGGTTGTTTTGGGGCCTTTTGGGACGCTTTAGGGCCGTCTTCTCTCTCTTGGGGCCATCTCGGGCCTCTTGGGATGTCATGGGGCCCAGTTTTTGGGCCGTTTTGAGGCGCGCGTCCAGGGCCGCTGGGAAGTTGCGCGGAGATCCCTGGGAACGCCTAGCAGTGCCAGGAAGTTCCAGCACTGCCGCAGCGAGGCGGGTGCCCAGCAGCGGGTGCCTCGGCGCAGCGCGCTTGGAGGTGGGGACAGGAACTTGTCGGGAGAGCGCCGAGTGCGTCGGGGACGGTGCAGGAAAACGCCCCCCTCCTGCATCGACCCGTAGACTAATCACACACATTGTGGCAACAAGTTGCGCACAAAGCACGCACGCACACAGAAAAATACGCACACACGCACACACGCACACACGTAAACACGCACACACGCAAACGCACACGCACACGCACATGCACACACACACACACGCACACGCGCACACGCACACGCTCACGCACGCGCGCACGCACGCGCACACGCACACGCACGCACTCGCACACGCACGCACACACACACACACACACTTACACATTCACACACAAAGACATACGCACACATTCACACACACGCACACATACACACGCGCACGCATTCACACACACACACATCTCACGGGCACACACACACACTCACACAGAAAACGCACACGCACTGGCACACACACGCTCACGCACACGCAAACGCGCCCGCACACGCACACGCAGACGCACACGCACACGCAAACGCACACGCAAACGCACACGCACACGCGCACGCACGCGCACACTCACACGCACACGCACACGCACACGCACATCCACACACACACACACGCACACCTACACAGACACGCACACACAGACACGGGAGATAGGGTGGTCGACGTGCTTCCATAGCGTGTGGAGACCTGGGGCAAGCGAAGCTGGCTGTGTAGCTTGCAGCGTGTTGCTTGCAGCGAGCCACGCACTGAGCTTTGTGAGTGTTGCGAGGCTTTGTGGTGCCGCAGCGTGTGGTGCCCTGAGGTGAGTGTTGCTTGCAGCGTAGCTTGCAGTAGTTGCAGTTTGCAGCATTTTGCTGCGGGCGGCGCACTGAGCACTCTGCATGCAGCGATGCCTTGTGGTGTGAGCTGCAGTGCGCGGTGTCCTGGCGTGTACAGCACTGGACGTGTGGCGTGCGGGTCACAGAGGAGCAGCGCAGTGTGTGCTGCGAACGGGCCGAGGCGGGGTGCGGACGCCCCTCGGGTGAAAGGGAACAGGGAAAGAAAACACGCACGCACATACGCACACACGCAAACACGCACACACGCACAAACACACACACACACACACACGCACGCACGCACACACGCACACAAGCACACATGCACACGCACGCACACACACACACACACGCACGCACGCAGGCACGCACGTACACACAAGCACACACACACACACACACACGCACGCACACACACACACACACGCACACACGCACGCACACACACACACATCTACACCTTACACCTATACCTACATCCGCACCCTCATCCGCACCCGCCCCCCCGCAGACCCGCACACGCGCACGCACGCGCACATTCACACGCACCCGCGCACACACCCGCACACCCACACACACCCGCACGCACGCACACACGCACGCACGCACGCACGCACACACGCACGCACGCACGCACGCACGCACGCACGCACGTACGTGCGCACGCACGCACGCGCGCACGCGCGCACGCGCGCACGCGCGCGCGCGCACCGCGCACCGCGCACCGCGCACCGCGCACCGCGCACCGCGCACCGCGCACCGCGCACCGCGCACCGCGCACCGCGCACCGCGCACCGCGCACCGCGCACCGCGCACCGCGCACCGCGCAAAGCGCACCGGCGCACCGGCGCACCGGCGCACTTGGCGCACTGGCGCACCGGCGCACCCGCGCACCCGCCGCACACGCGCACGCGCACGCGCACCCGCACCCGCGCCGGCACAGGCGCAGGCACAGGCGCAGGCGCACGCGCAGGCGCAGGCGCAGGCGCAGGCGCAGGCGCACGCGCAGGCGCACGCGCAGGCGCACGCGCAGGCGCACGCGCGCGCGCACGCGCGCGCGCGCAGGCGCACACGCAGGCGCACGCGCAGGCGCACGCGCAGGCGCACGCGCAGGCGCACGCGCACGCGCACGCGCACGCGCACGCGCACGCGCACGCGCACGCACACGCGCATGCACAGGCGCACGCGCAGGCGCACGCGCGCGCGCACTCGCACACGCACGCGCAGGCGCACGCGCACGCGCACGCGCAGGCGCACGCGCACGCGCACGCGCACGCGCACGCGCACGCGCACGCGCACGTTCGCACGCGCACGCGCACGCGCACGCGTGGGCCCGCCGGGCCGTGACAGGCCCTGGTGGCCTCGCCCTGGGCTCTTCGAGTTGGGGCCCTGTAGAGGCGATCTGGCGCCCGTTGGGGCGGGTGCTTCGAAGTCCTTTCGCGCCGCGGTTAGTGGCGTAGTCTAGGCTTGCTGCCGGGCGCGGCCCGCAGTGGGTTCGACGCGCGCGCGCAGACGCGCGCGCGCAAACGCGAGCGCGCGATTACACGCACGCAAATGAACAAAACGCATGCAGGCACGCACGCACGCACGCACTCACGCGCGCACGCACAACGCACAACAGACACGCACGCGCGCACACACAAACACGCGCGCGCACGCATACGCACGTGCGCGCACGCACGCATTCACACCCGCACTCACAGTCGCACTCGCGCTCACGCTCGCGTTCACACGCGCTCATTCACACACGCACGCATTCACCCACGCTCGCACACGCATTCACAGTTGTACTTGCAGCCACATTCGCACTCACACTCGGATTCGCTTTCACACGCACGTGCGCACTTACAATCACATTTGCGCACATTTATATTCGCACTTACACTCGGACTCGCCCTCACGCCCCCGCTCACATTCACACTCGCATTCTCACTCACGCTCTCACTCACAAACGCACTCGTGCTCGCGCGCGCACGCATACACGCGCGCACACGCGCGTACGTACACTCGCACAACTCTCACAACGCACACAACACACAATACACAACAGACACACAACGCACGCACAACGCACACACACATTGTGGAAAAACAGAAACCAGTGGAAACACACACACACACACATACAGGTGTGTGTGTGTGTGGAAAAACATGCAGGTGTTTGTTTCCACGTGTGTGTGTGTTAGCACAATAATTTTGTAACAAACATTACAGATGTGTGTGTGTATGTGTGTGTGTGTGTGTGTGCGCGCTTTTCCCACAATATGTTATTTTGTGTGTGTGGGTGTTTTTCCCGCAAATCACCGTCTACAAGGTGCTCGTCAGGGTGATGCTGAAGGGTCCAGTGCTTTCGGCTTTCTAGTGGCGCTGAGGGGTCTTTTGCGGTATATCTTGTGGCTTTCGGCCCATCCCGCCGCCGTACCTGGGTTGAAGGTCGGAGACTTCTTGGATGCTTGTGTGGAAACCTCTTCGAGAGGCCTCTCGGAAATCTAGTTGGGGCGGTGTTGGTGTGTCGTGGGGGCCTCTCGAAACTTCTCGGGGGGCCTTTTGGGGCCTGACTTGGGTCTCTTGGTGGCCCTCCTGGGGCGTTCTTGTGGGGGCCTCTCCCAGGGCCTGCTGATCGTCTCGGGGTTCGTCTTTGGGCGGCCTGTCGGGCTCGAAATGTCGGTCTGTGTCCTCCCTCGTGGGGCTATCTTGAGGCCCTCTCGGGCCTTCGTTGGGCCCTCTTTGGGCCGTCAGAGGGTCCTCTTCGGAGCCAGTTGGGTCGTCTTGGGGCGATCTGAGGGGTTTCTTCGGCCGTTTGTGAGCGTCGGAAGCCA